TGGATATCTTTCGTCTTTGTTGCTCTTCTAGTTGAAGAAAAAAGTGTAAGTTTCGCTAAAAAAATATCGACTAAACTATTCACGTATTGTTATAGTAATCTTGTATTACGTTTTACAGTGGAATATTACAAATGTTGCATATGTATTTTGTGTTGACAGGTATCGTGTAAATTTATCGCTACGGGAATTCATGCATTGTTTTTGTGCTGTTGTTCTTGGATACTGATAGATGCCATACATCTGTTCCTCAGAATGAAGTCATTTATATATAAGGGTTTACGAACTAGGTATGTGGAAAAATGCTGAACATTATTGAATATTATATTCAGTGCCAATTTTTCAGAACTAGAATATCATAGTTATATTATGAATAAACATTTTATGAGAATGAATGAATTTGAATCGATAAATGGAAGAATGAATGAATTTGAAATAATAAATGAATGAATGAATGAATGAAGAATTGAAATAATAAATGGATGAATGAATGAATGAATTTGAAATAATAAATGAATGAATGAATGAATTTGAAATAATAAATGAATGAATGAATGAATTTGAAATAATAGAGTTTGTTTTAATCAGGGGTTCAATAACGTGACTGCAAAACCGAATTATTCCAATTTGTGTTGTGTTCGCTCAATTGTCCTCAACAGACTGCGTTCATTAGTCTAGACAAACAAATTCATGGTATATATTACGATACATTATTGTCTTTCAGAGTTGCTTATCTTGTTGCGGGATGGCTTGTTCCTGTTGTGTTTGTTACTGTCTTTGCTGTTGGGAGTGGTATCGAATACAGAAATGCCAAACAGTACGTAAACTATAAGTTCAGTATTACCTGAGTGTTATTGTATTGCATCTTTGTCCATATTCCAAAAGACAAACAGAATAGATTTTTCGTCAATCATAGCGAGTATCACTTGTTTTATATCATAGCTTTTTAACAAGAACATTTTGATCATGTATCGATTATATTACAGATGCTGGGTCGTAACTGGTACACTCTCACTAGCCGTGATTTTACCAGCATTAGTGTTGTTTACGGTGAGTAAGCTAAGTGCACGTATGTTTCAGCATATGGTTTACCATATACATTCGTGTTGAATGTGACCCATAGGTAATTTTTATTTCACATTTCAAATCATTGCCTCACTTACATCGTGTTATTTCTTTGTCAGTACGAATATTTTAAATTCACGATGTCCACGAGCCTTGTTGTGGCTACTGCCTGTCAACTACGTAATGCTTTTCTAATCATTTCCCTAAAGAGTTGTATTTTTTTGTTTAAAAATGAAAGTATGGTGATTGTATTCAAGTTATATGCATTTTCTGACCAACGTATTGAGGTTCCGTTTTCTGTGTATACATCCATTGATAGCACCAAGTTATGGACAACTAATATTTTGATTGAACAATGTATGTTTAGAGTGTTATCATACGTTTTATTTTTATTTATCTGAATTTTTTTCTTAAAGTGTCGTCGAAATTCTTCACATGTGTAACAATTTCTTACGAGTTTTGTCTTAGTATCATTCAGCCATATTGTAATCATTTATTGTATATTACAATATCTTGACAAACATGACAAAGGACAAGACAAGACATGAACACATACATTAGTTTGTACATCCGGGACTTCAAACCATTTACCATTCTAAGCTAATGATTTATATTATTTACATTTTCAGGCAACGATAGTTTTTCTTGTAATGGCGTATCGGTTGTTGTCTAAACACAAAACTAAGAGTCAACTTATTGAGTACAAGAAAACTTGGTATGTGAATGTTATATTACGAGTGATATGTCAGTATACAGTGGAATGTAAATTGCAATTAACGTCGTAAATAACTTTCTGTTAATCTATAGTGTTCCATGAAAGTAATTGTTAATCATCGCATGAGTCTAATCGGAGTTTTCACTTACTAGTAATTGCCATGGTTTATTTCTGTGATAGTTCTTATTCAGCCAGTGACCTCTTTTATACAATTTGATTGATGTTGAAATTTAACACTTTATTTATCTGTTTCATAGGGTCGACATTCGTTCACTTATTATCGTGTTTCTGTTATTCACGTTGAGTTGGATTGTTGGTATAGGATCTACTTCAAGAATGGATCTCGAAATTATCAGTTATTTCTTTGCCTTTCTTATTTTCTTTGAGGTAAGTAAGATTACAGTTTTCAAGTTCAAACGTCTCTGGAAATCCTGAACAAAAATGGAATTTTAAAACTCAGTCACGATATGATATACCAAAGTTGCATCCAAATTAAGTTAAGATTGTAGAAATTAGAAATTTAAGATCGCCTTTTATAATACGTAACAATAAACTCACTAAGTTAGGAAGCTGTATTGCCCCTGTGGGTCAGTTACTTTGTAGGTGAGTTTCTCAATGAATGTGGTGACAAATAAGGGCATGATATCTACACTTCTAATGTTTCTTATTTTCGCAACAAAACAACGTCATGTTTACACATTCTATATTTTATCTTGTTAACTGGGAGTGTTGTTTCACATATCGTGAGGGCAATTTCAATACAGACATATGAAAGACAAACAAGGCAACTTACAATTACTAGCAATACAAGTAGCATTTGACTATCCGCAAACATTTATCTTATACACAGAGTTTTTTGAGACTGGGTCTAGGATACATAACATCGTACACAGTAGCCGATGTTAGCTCAACTTATGAATGCTCTTTCACCAACAAATATTTTATATTTTCCAGGCTTCTATCGTCTTTTTAAGCTACTGCGTATTTAATGAGGAGGTAAGAACAACACTAAGCATATGCGCACTGCTTTTTAAACTATTCATCTGTTGTTGTATTCCAAATTTTCTGAATTGCAAAGCACTGAATACACAAGCTACTGCTTTGCAGATGAACACTTTGAGATCAGACACCTCCATCTAACCCTTAGACTAATATGCTAAGAATCGTTAGCAACATTAATTTTGCTTAGCTCTTTTCTTACTCTTTCCTTCATTCACGTGGCGTATTACAAATTACCTAAGAACACTTACCCTCCGGCACTCTGCTCACACTAAAGTTCGCTTTAAATTTCAGCTTATCATTGCACTTCGTGTTCGCTTGTGTGCTGGGCTAGAGTGGCAGGATGCTTGGGAGGACTTGAAGAAAATGGAGCAACAAAGAATGGATTTACTGAAGCAAGCCAAAGAAGAAGTGGAAAGAAAGAAAATACAGAAGTATGAAGCAAAACATAGAAGATCTACATCGAAGGATGGCATGCATGGCTTATATGTAGTGGTAGGTTTTGATATATCAACACTCATATATTTTGTACATTAAAATAATTATATTTATAGATTGTACAAATATCAAGCGATGTAATGATTGTTGTTGATACAAGTTCAGTGATTAATGAGTCTTTCAAATTCCGCAAGTTTGGTCTCCTGGTACTATTAGTAATTACTATAATAATTAATTATGGAATATTCTGACATATATTCACAGGCAAAGCGGAGTAAACATACAAGAAACCACATGGAAATCCCAAGATATAGCTCAGAAGACTTGGAGAATGAAGATCTTACCGAAAGTAGAGTATGAAAGCATTAACAAATGTTAATGTTACTAATTGTGTGGACACATTGTCAAATGAAACGTATGCACCTGTAATGGTTCAAATATAGCATTTAATGAAATGTGTTGTAAATCATCAGACAGAGCAAAATGATTGATCGTATGATATTTGATTATTAAACTACCTTATTCCTTGAACACAAATTCGATATTCCATATCCATCATGTGTACATATTTTATAGTAATCTTCAATGCGTCATTCAGTATCACAACCTTGTATTCTATGTAATATATTTTTCATTTACAAACTTAATAACTGTACCACATATTTTAGCAAATGTGAGCATGGGAGACTAAAGACGGCGATTTGATTATAACAATCTGTGTCAAAATTATTTCAAACAAATATAGGTCACGCCTAGAGGACAATTGTCATGGTAACTGTGCTTTTTGTAGGTAATCTTCTTTGATCAGCTCTCTAACATTGGCTACTATGTATGGGAAAACGATCATATGTGCACAGGCACAGTTCGGTTTGTACTCGCCTATTATTTCGAAAAGTTATATAAAGAATGTAGTACAATGTGCTATGCATTTTTCCAAGCTTTGCAAACAATTAAGTGTACTTAAAGTTAAATTTGTAATTTTATAAATTGATCTTTGATGATAATTTTGATATCGACAGTACTTTTTTATCTTTCCCTTCCTCTTTTTTTAAAATTCTGATGTTTCTTCTACCAGAGTTGATGGTCAGGATTTTACAAATCATACTTTGTACATATATTGAAGCTCTGTACCGTTTTACATAAACCTTATATTTCAAAATTATTAACTTTTTAAACTTCCAGGCAATGCATAATGTCGAATTAAATGCGAGGTGGACTGGGTGGGAGTTATAACATTTCCTCTTTTGAGGATGTTTCACTTCACCATTATTAGGAGTTTTAGTAATATTCCAAACGTATTTGCCAAAGCTGATTTAGGAAAATATTCTCGACCCGTGCAAGGCCATGTATTTTCAGCAAACTTTTGTCTGAATGCACAGATATTAGATTATGCTTTGTAATAATTGTTTTTATACATATATTGTTTGACTTTTCACTTTATATGACCAGTCTTTCAAGTCAATGATACTCGCAGGGGCTTATCATAAACTCGCCTACACATGTTTACAATTGTTAAGACCATCTGTTCATTGGCAAACCTAGTGTAGTGTAGTGTCGGGCTTTGAGTTGAATACAACAGAAGTATTCCCATAACCCAAAGCTACTGGGACATTACGATTAATAAGATGAATTTCACATGTACTGGTAATCATAGAACAAGATCGCTCTGAAAGAAATTCGATAGTAGATTTATTCAGTAGAAAAGTCTGTTTAAATATAAAATATCATTCAAAAATATTGTGTTTCTACTATAAAAATATAAACCTAAAAAACATGGTGTTTCAAATTCAATTGCATGTGTGCATCAAACTGCTTTAATAGACAGTTCAATGTAGCCAGGATATAGACTACAATTCAGCTACTGACGTCTCGAAAGACTGCAATGATTTTGCTTATCAAGTATGCAAGTATATTGGAACTATTAAGATTGGGGTGTTGGTACTTTCACAGCTGTGGCTATTTGAAAGCGCGTAATAGCGTTCTTGTTCGACATTAGCATAGTCAGATCAGCTGTGTGCTATATTTATCAGTCAGTGAGGAGAGAAAGTAACCAGTGCAAGTAGAGTATTTGAGTTACGTTCTATGAAACATAAAATGCGAGTTTTCTTATGCAACCTTAAGACACGAACTTTGAACTTGTGTACAATTTGGAGATGCACACGTAGATCTTGTTACTCACATGTATTCTTTTCCAATATACAATGAAGTAGATTTTTTTAGAAATTGCCAAATCCGTATATAAATAATGTAAAAACTAAATATTTAATTATTGTAACTATTACTTTTTGGCTCGTTTCTATTTTTCTATAATTCGCTAACCTTAAACAGTGAACAGTTTTTGTTAAGCATTTACTAGAATATTTATCTTTCTTTAGCCCAAAAGTATCATTTACTAGCGTTTGTTCCAAGCATTACCCGTGTAAGGGGAAATTACTTTCTAAACGAGGTTATTTTCAGATAATCCATATGATTAGTACAACTTTCCCTTCACCGTTTAAAAATGAGACTTTTTTCAACAACCTTTTCCATACCGACAAACCTTGTCACTCTACTGAACGTATTGCTGGTTAATTGCAACATATAGTTCATTATAATACGTACGTAACTCAAGTGGCCAATTGTTCTGCTTTACAAAATGAGTTACGTAACACACTAACACTGACAACGCGCAACAGGCGATGAGGTCGCAGAAAAAGCACCTACAACTGTAAACAGTCGAAGTATTACTACGGTATAACCAATCAGGAAGTTTAAAAGCATGGTACTATAGTAACAAAATCCATTAAGTAGAAAGATTCCAGTGTAGAACATTTTGACGATTGATTGACATTAGAATAGCAAAGTACTAGTACCGCCACCTGGATGCATGTCCAACTGTGGTTCATAGTACTAAAGTACCGAGTTTCCCACGTTGAGGATTGAGAAACTAGGTTTAACTCAATGATTTTAGGCAATTTTCCGAATATACGTTCAAATGTAAACATTATATTTACCTCAGTTATACATCGATTGGGGGTGATATTGGATTACAATTACTGTACCTACAACAGATCCTTGGATTTTAACTGGCGGGTCCCATGAAAACAGACAATTGTATTTCCAGTGCGCACACAACTGCCATTCTGAAATTAAACTGCCATGTCTCTTGCTGGGAATATGAACTCAAATCCAGTATGCCCACAACAATTTACCTGCTCAGTCTCGTGCAGTGTGCCTCACAACATACTAATGTGGGATTCAACTACCATGCCCCATACTGGTTGCATGAAAACTGCAACTTTTATCTGCAATATGCCTACAATAACATGCCTGTAATCCATATTATATGTACTGACGTATACATCAACACATTGATAAAATGTTGTTACATTATATAAACAAGCAGCCTCTCGGCTGAGATAGCTCCGCTGTTAGCAATGCATATACACCAAGTATCAA